ATCTGAGAAGAAGTATGAAGAGAAATGAGAAAAACATATATCTGACCACAAAGCCGTGCAGACTGCCAAACTTTGAGAAATATACCTTAAGAAAGGCAGACATGGAGATGCAGAGTAGGTGGTCAAAGAGATAGGAAAACACAGATGTCCGATTTCGTAGAAGCCAAGAGAGGAATGGAGTTAAAGATCAGGAAAGACATCAAAAGAACATCCAAACCCTATTGATGTTGACTAAAATAATTTGGGTTCCTAGAAAATGACAGGGAATATGACTAAAAGATTCTAACTGGCTAAGCATATAAAATACAGTGTCACAACCACCCTTTACACTCAGTGGTTCTCAACCTGTGGGTCGCAACTCCTTTGGGGGTTGAATGACCCTTTCACAGGGGTCGCCTAAACCATCGGAAAACACATATTTCTGATGGCGATTCATAACAGTAGCAAAATTACAGTTATGAAGTAGCAACGAAAATAATTTTATGGTTGGGGGTCACCACAACAGTTTGTCCCATTCTTTCCTTCTTAGAAGACTTTAAATAAATGCATTGGGCTCTGCATGTAGACTTCATTATCTCTGAGTCTCAGATATTTTCAGAATCACTTCACAAATCTCAAGGGGCTGAATCCACATCATAACTGATGAGAATGTCCTAAAAGATGTTCTTCCTGAGCATCCTAGGGAAGGTATAATTTACAAAGCTCTGAGTAGCACCCACTACACCAGAGCCTCCTCCCCCAGCCTGGATCCTGGATTAAGGGTGATGACTTCCTGACTGCCCCTCTGCCAAGCTCCAGGGAAGGGCAGGATGTTCCATGGAGTGTTGGTATCTATTATGAGGTTCAGATCAGTGTGGAGAATGCCTTCCCCCAAACCTAAGCATGCTGTCTTGGAGCAGAAGGGATGGGTATTTGGAGGGGTGGGGTAGGTAGGATGCATAGAGATTCAGAAACTTTAGCTCTTGCTATAATTTGAGCAAGTGTGGCTTTTTAAAATGAAGGTTTGATATAGAATAGACATGCTTAGCACTCTGAGGCACACTGTTGCTGCCACAGAAAGAGTATGTCAAGGAAGGTACATAGAACTGTTTAAACTGGGAAAATTATCATCTCAGAACCTGGTCTGGAGAAAAGGTTGTAGCCATGAGAAACCTACTTTCCAATGGGAGTCAATAAATAAGTGGTTCCAGGTTAAACTTAAATGTAACTCCCCCCACCACCAACACTGGATTCTTCAACCCTGTGGGAATACACAGTTGAATTTTCTATCACCAAGACTTGGGTTTTTTTCTAGAGCCTATGCATACCTGTGTTCTCCTGAGCTGCATGAGGAAATCTTTGCTATGTTAAACACACACACACACACACACACACACACACACACACACACACAATTATCCTTATCAGTTAGGGACACATGCTCAAAAATTTACATGTTAAATGACTTTGGAAATTTTTTAAATTTCTGGAATTTTTTTTAAAAAAGATAATGAGTAGATGAAACAAGATTAAAATAATGAAAATTCCAAAGCTTGGTGATGAATAAATGGAATTTCACTACATATTCTCTTCATTTTTATATGTGTATGAATTTTATATAATAAAAATTTTAGAAATATTTGTTACTTTGATAGAAATGGGTAATTTATTGTAGTCTTATATGCACTTCTTTGAATACTTAACAAAAATGAACATGTTTATTATTTATTGGTCATTTATATTCACTTTAATTTTCTATATATATTCTTTGCTCATATTTTAACATCTGAGGGTAGGACCTTTATTTTGACTTATAGGATGCTTAAGGAAAAATAAAGCCTTTTGTTTAGTGTATTTAAATATTCTATATTGCTCTTTTTAATTTGCATTTTATTTTTATGACATTCTTAACATATTTGTTTTTAATGTTTGAATGGAGGTTTTCATCCTTTTTTAAAATATCTTTTTATTGATTTTTTTTGTTTTTTTGTTTTTTTTTTTTTTTTTGAGAAAAAGGAAGGGACAGAGAGAGAAATATCAGTGCTAGAGAGAAACATGAAGTGGCTGCCTCCTGCACGCCCCCTACTGGGGATCAAGTCCACAACCCGGACTCGGGCCCTGATCGGGAATGGAGCCAGGACCTCTCAGTCTATGGGCCCATCCTTCCCCCCACCCCCCTTCATGGTTTGTGCCTTTGGTGTCAATTTTAGATTATTTGCCTTAAAAAAATATTGCTTTCAATATGGCAATGACATAAAATATCATTTGGTTGAAAACAATAAAAGCCTGAACTCTGACCTCCTTTGCACCTCAGCACCTCTCAGCTATTGCTTTAGCTAGTTCTCAGTCTCTTAATATATTAACCATAACATGGTTCTCTCACCGATTTGCTATCACTGTCAAGAATTTCCTCCACTCCATAGCCCTCATTCCAGAGGTCCAGAGGAGGACCTTCCTGTCCTCCTCCTTCATCAGAGGACACTATTCACAGAGTTTCTCTGGCATCCCCTTTCTTCTCCCTCTGCAATGACCTGGCTCCCCGTTCCCACACATTCACCTTGCCCAAACTGAAGCCATCTGCCCCTGTCCTGTGGACCCTGCCACAGTTCTGAGGTCAATGATTTCTTTAGTCAACAGGTAGAAAATGCCTTTTAACTTACCACTTCGGAAAAATGGTGTTACATTCCCTCTCAGAAATCTACGGTTCTACTCATCACCTACAAAATATTGTCAAATATCTGTGAAATGTTGTATAAAGTAATTTAACTTCTGATCTTCCAACACATCCTCCAGGCTCCCTCCTCTGCCCATACTTTCTCTCTCTCTTTTTTTATTACCGTTGACATTTAATATTATATTAGATTTTTACAGGCCACTCAGCTGTGAAGCAGTCTTTGTGTATTTTATTGCCTTATCTCCTTTGTTCTTTTCAACCCTCTTCACCATTCAAAATCCTTCTCATCCTTGAAGGCCCGGATCCTTTGGCATCTCCACCATCACGTTTTTTCCTAATCCCTTCAGTTAATCCCTGCTTTCTTCAAGATGCTGCTCAGGATTACCTGAACTCTTACTTACCTCTTAAATCATTCTATTGTATGTCCTGGTTAAGGGTCATTCCACTGAAATTGAGCTCCTCAGGAGTAGAGGCGTTTCTTTGTTCTTCGTTGTATTTTCCAGGGTCTTAGTCAGAGGCTGACCATAAATATCTCTTAACTTTATTAAACTGATGTTATGTAAAGCACGTTATGCTATTGGTTTGGCTGTGAGTGTGTATCCTCACTAAACAGAGTTTCCGCTTTGATTTAGAGAGTACATTTCTAACTTCTAATTTAGTTTTGGAAAATGGATTACAATTTTCTTCTCCTGCCTCAGGGGCCTGGTTTTAGAAAAACATCCAGTGAAGAACCATGTTCTCTGGAAGTAGACATTGGTGTTGCTTGTAGATCTACCCTTGGCTTCACCTTTGATACCCCTCCTTCACATGAGCCCCAAACTCTTTGCTGTGTCCTGCTCCCTGGACATGTTGCCAACCATCTGCTGATGTGGTTGCCCGGAATTCCAACTTGTGCCCGATCTTAGATGTCCATGTTCCCTGCTACCTGTTTAGATTTCAGATCACTCTAACATTGCTTTCCCATACCTGTGACCATGGTCTCTAATACATTATTTCCCTAGCCAGCTGAAGGCATTGCTGGTGATTAAGGTAGGACCCAGTCTCTAGCGCATGATCCCCCCATCCATAGGAGTGTCAGTTTTCAGGTGCCAGCCCAAGTCTGCCCAGTCTCAATGAAGCCAACCTTTCCATACAGATTATTTGCATACATAACAGGAAGATCAATTGGGAGGCCTTGTTATGTGATGAGAAGATTTTGTGGACTTCCCTGAGCAACGGACTCTCTGCTGTAATTGGAAAAAGTGTGCAGTGATTTTCTAATGATTTTAATTTAAGAATCATGTATATGTTTAATAAATTACATATACTGGCTAATTATGATTTCAGCTGAGAGTAGCAATCATTTCAGAATTTGAAGTTCTCTGAGTTGAACTCATTCCATTGGGTAATTATTTTTTTAATCTATTCCTTTTCATTAGTAAGTCACTTGTGATTATATTGATCCCTCTTTCATGATGGTTCTCAGCGAGGGATGCTTTTGCTTCCCAGGGAATGTTTGGCAATTTCTGAGGATATTTTTTGGTTGTCTCACTGGGGAGGTGCTACTGGTATCTAGGGTAGAGACCAGGGATGCTGTAAAATCTCATGATGCACAGGACAGCACCCACAGCAGAGAATCATATAGCCCAAGGTGTCAGCAGTTCTGCTTCTGTAATAAGGTACAACTAGTTAAATCCTTTGGTGCTCCATAGGTACTTCTGTATTACTTGTGGAGGAGTCAATTTTCTCAAATCCACAATTCATTCTATATCGTTGGCTATGAATTGGTCGGTTGTGGATGGGCAGCTACCCCGACCTTTTCCTCATAGAATTCCACCCAATCTCTTACCTCCATTTGTATGTAAAATAAACTATAGTCTGTAGCATTTATCTGGCACTTGATTGATCCCTTCTTTGCATCCCTGCTACCCCACAAATGAAATAAAACTCTGCCTTGTGTAGCAACTCAAGGAACTCATTTACTTTCACCCACTGATATTTCATCAATGTTCAGTTTCTAGAAAAGTTTCCCTTCTCCTCTTCAATACTTCTTTGCTCAATTGTGCTCACTTTTGTGCTATGTTAACATATTTCTTCATTATCATTTGATCTCACTTTTTGCTATGTTAACATATTTCTTCATTATCATTTTATCTCTTTTGCCAGTACATTTTTTCTTTTATTAAATGGAGATACAGCAATATTTTGTTCTCCCATATTTTCTTAGAAAAATTTTATATTCAATGTTTAACTGATGATTATTTCAATCCATAAAATAGAACAATTTTAGTTTATTACAATAAGTACACAACATTTTTTATTCAGGGAAAGGACACACAACTTAACTATTTTGTGTTGACTGCAATAGGTGTACCTGAAGAAGAGGGATTCTCCCTGTTGTCTGTGAGTGGGACAGCGACCTCAACGTTTCAGAGACACAGAGAGAGTCACAGCACTCAGGTAATGACCCCCAGATATTCACATATGCCATAATAACTGAAATTAAATTATGACAATGTACTCATTAAGGTATGATTAAAAACATATTTATTTTACTGGACTAGAGAAGGGAGTTACTCTCATCTCTGCCCTAAGTTTCTCCAACTCAAATGTTTTACTTTCTCCTCTATCTCAATTGACTTCAGTTTTCTACTGGTTTAAAAAATAATAATTTGCCCTATACAAATGAAAATTAATAAATATATCATAAGTGAAATATGGTAGACATAATGTATGTTATGGTATTTTAAAATCACTGTCAGGGGAAGATGATATTAAATTTACCAAATGCTGTTAATATGTTTTCCACATTTGACCTCAGCTAAAATAGGGGGACTTTAAGTGACAACACATGGAAATAAAATGCTTGAAGCACCTGTGGTTTTATGGCATGCCATTATATCTAAGTCACTGCTTCCAAATTCCATGTAATCCAAATTCATTTAAATGACATGTGATCGGAGCACAGTGAAATTAAAATGAGATGACAGTGCACAAAGCCTTTTTTCATTGGGTTTCTGTGATTTCACATATATGCTAATGTGTTTGGCCTTTAAAAGGTGACCAAAATAAAGATTATCACTTCAAGAAAAAAATGACCACTAATGCTTTGAGGGAAAAAAAAGGATTTTTATCATATAATTTAGTGGTTTGCTATACTGAATTTTAAAAGACCGTTTTCAATCGTTATCTTAAAAAAGATACGACTTTGTATTCAAGGTGGTGTACAAACAATAATATATCAGACTTTATTATCAACATATTCAAAGTATAGCAACAGAATTCTTATTTTGTATGAAGTTACCATACAACTTTTATTATTTCAAGTATCTGCATAAAATATTTTCAAATCTCAATCGAGTATCCGGAAGTTTTTATGAAATCCACTGTCTAGCTAATGATCAGCTTGCATCTGAGCTTGGCATTATATAGGTATGGCTTTATTATCAGACGAGGTTTTTCTAATTCCGCTAATGAGGTAGTGAGAAAAATCAATAATTTTAATCTTAAAAATAAATCTCACAGGAGGTAATCTGCTGAAATCATTTACACTGATATATAGGCACTGAAATAGAAAGAAATGCTGATTGGTTGCAATAATAGATTGTCCTAATCTCCCCTCTGTTCCTTAGAGATGCATTTGCTTTACCTTGTAAGCATTACAGATGCCTTATCTAAGATGATTCACAGGGGACCCTACTTGTTATGAACACTGGTTGGATTTTATTGCAGGGTTGACTCCTGCACACTGGAGCACAATGCTAGGCCATCTGACATCCTTCCCAGGGCTCCCACTCTACTGTGGTTCATAGAGAAAAGGATTAACATTGAAAGAAGGTACATAACATAGGCATCGCTGTAACTTTTCCTCTGATCTTTCACGGACTTGGCCAAGAAGCAAAGAGAGATGGGAAAGGTCATCAGGAATAATTTCCCATTCCTAGTTCTCAATGGAGGCTTGTTTTCAAATGCAAACATCTCTGCCTCCAGTTATCTCACAATGCATTTTTTCAAGAAAATGGAAAACCAGGCTCATTTTATTCCATGCAAAAGCTCGGGTATTTTCATGTAGGACACATTCCTCACTGTTGAAAAGCTATACCAGTTATGTGAAACTATGCATTTAATGGCTACATGTCTTTCAGCATAAATGCCTCTTGTGTGACATTTATAGAACTGTGGACACATACAGCATATTGCATTTTAGATTTTCTACTAATGTAGTTAAGTAGGAATTCTATAAAATCAGTCGGACTGATTGGACATGTAAAAGTAAAACTAAATGTTGACTAAAAAAATTGAACAGACCCTCTTTGAGGATGTCTATATTTTAATTAGCATCACCAGTGATTTTAAGAAAATCTTTATAAAGAGAGAAAAATATATGGGCATTATTGTAGGTGAAGAAAGCAGGAAATGTATTTAGTCATTTGCCCAAGATGACAGGGAAAATTCAGAGTTCACAGTTTGAATGGATGTCAACATCATATGTCCTGTATTTGAGAACAAATTTACCATAACCCATTAAAAGGAATGCAGAAGTCATTCGAATTTTTCTTAAAAAATGTGTAGAATTTTTGGCTCAAGACAAAAATCTAAGTAGCCATAGTAGATAGACATTTATGATTTGTTAGTTTAGCTGTCAGTCACATGTTTACATTTCTGACCTACCACAGTGCAATGTTAAGGGGGGGAGACTCCCTTTTTCTCTCTCCTTTGACAGCTAGACAAATACATGTGAGATGGGCTCAGTCAGCCTATTAACCATGGATTATGGAGTGAGAGGCATATAAAGGAAAAGACAGAATAGATGTCGCCCTAGGAAGTCACAGCTGGCAGTGGGGGCCCCCTCCAGTGGCAGCAGATGTTGGTCATCGTATGTGTACTGCCAGCCACTGTGCCCACCTTGGTCTGTCCATTTGCCAGAGCTTTCCTTCAACTTCATGTTCTTTCAGCTTCTAACTGTTCAGATGTTCAGAGCTAGTTTTTATTCCTTGCAAATAAGAATTTTGACTGACACTAATTTGACTAATACTAGTTTCTTTCCTCATAATACTGAATATAAAAATAGAGTTTATATTTGGTTGCATCATGATTTTTATTAATTTTCAAAATATGGTTTACATAAAAGTAGTAAAAATTAATTTGACTTAAAATATTTTAAAATAGTGAAAGCAGACATTAGCTGTATCACAAACGTGACCGAGTTCATTTATGCTCCTTATATGGGTCGGGTAGGTCCATGCTGTGAGCCAAGATGAAATATTCATGACCTTCCAAAGCACTCGGCATGAATAAAACCAGCAGCGAATGTGTGGCATCATGGAATTCCACATACCAGGCCTGGAGGGGCTTGGTGGCACATCCCAGTACTCAAGCTGGATTCCATAGGGTACAGAAGGCACTTCAGGTTGGTTTTAGAATTCCACAGCATTTATAAAGATAATATGCCATTTACCTACCTGACATTTTATGAGATGTAAAATCACTTTTTAAAAAATTTTGGTGCCATTTGGCATCATGCAAAGCCTTAGGAATAATGCAGTGGCCAAAGACTCGGCAGTGAGTGAAATACTAAGAACGTCTTCCAACCCAGAATGACTACTTAGCATTTTTAGCTGTGGTTGCAATCCTCTGCTGACGCAGAAGGCCAGGTCACCTGACACAGGAAGCCCATGGATTATAAATAGAGCAAAAGCATGAGCTGCACAGGAGGGGGTCCTGAGACAGGAGGATACCAGACGGGGTTGGATAAAATAAATGTTTAGTGCTTGCCCTTGGCATAAAATTGCTAGCTGCACATCTGGTTAGGGGTCCACACTTGACATTGAAAAATGAGATGTTTTCTTTTTCCATTTGAGCATAGTTTATTTGTATTTACATTCTCATTTTAATGTTACCAACTTTCAATGAATGCCTTTATTCCTCTCAGCTATCTGTTCTCCAGAATAATATTGTGTGGTTTATGATCTTTGATTTTCATTATGGGAATTTATCATATTTCTTGCCAAACCTTTTTTATATTCTTTTGTTTTTTAAAGTGTATACAATTTTTTATTAACATCTGTCAGATTCAAATGTTCATTGTAAGGAAACATTGATGGTGTCTAATAAAATAGTGGCATTCCAGCACCCAAGGGCCTAATATATATCTAGCCCTCTCCAGAAATAGCTGCCAATGAAAGTCATAACATAATCAATATGCAATTGATCCACATCAAGAAACAAATTGTTATGTGGTTTGTTTTACTGAATGATCAAAGAAACCTTTTTGTAATGTCACATATCAACAAAATGAAGAGTTGCAGGGCACTAAATAAACCCAATGCCTTCTTTCTATATTCATTTTATTTGTTATATAGACTTCTTTGAAATATACTGTGGCATAGAAAAGAAAGGGTTAGATAAAATAACTGAATCTAGACTTTTAGTTTAATAATTAAGGGACAATTCTAAAGCATATAATAGGAAATAATAATTAGATGACCATTTCAAAAGGAAATATATATGTATTTCATTTAGGAGCTACAAACAGACAGAGATCTAGCATAGAAGCTCTTTGACACAGCTGAAGTTTCTGAAAATAAATAGGTACCATTCATGACTTCCATATTAGATGCAAGAGATGAAAGCAGTGAATTAACCTGATGGTATGAGTTAAATGGTGGCATTTTCAACAGAAAAGGGACATATTCTATGTAGATATAAAGTTAGAAAATAAAAAACAAAACTGAATTTTTGTATTTTTTCCTTCATAAAATTGTACCGTATGTATATCCCAAATGTATTCAAATGCACAGCGTTTTCCTAGTGAAGACATTGTTATCAATGAAGAGAAATCAATTTTAAGACATGAGAAGAATTAGAAATCAGAATTTCGATGTTTTTAAAGAGGAGAAAGGTCGTATTTCTGCATGCTCACCTGCCAGATGGGAAAGCTGCAATTAGCCAACACTATCGCATAAGGGAGGGAGTAACAATGCAACTGAGAAGATGTGGTTAAGTATAAATTCTAGTTAACTTAAGAACTTCAATATTAATTCAATTTAATTTCTAAAATTAAGGAAACAAAAGACCTAGGTATTAATCCTGTATCTGCTATTTAACATGTGCATATAGAAAGTAGTACTTATTTTTCAGATTGATCTGAGAGAATATATGTAACCTGTCAAGCATGCTGCCTGCTATATAATAAACGCTAAAAAACAAAACAAAACAAAAAAAACTGCTTGGTATTATTATTATAGCATTCCTCTTTTTCCACGGTCAATATTCTGAACATCAATTCTGATTCTAATAGAAAGGTGCTACCTAAACTATGCAGGAGATTAGATTGAATCAGCAGGCTCCAGCACTTATCTTGGATTCTGATAAAATATGTATGTCATGTATGTGATTTTCAAAAATACTTTGTTATGAAATGCTATAAACTTAGAAAAGACATGACAGTGATTAGTAAA